TTAATCCAAAGTAGCAAAAAGGTATGAAAAGATACAAAAACAAAATCTAGGTCTAAAAAATCTCATTGATAAAATAGTTATGATATTCATATGAAATCAAGTAAGAACTCCTAAAAATTCATTGGTAGAAGAGAAAATGTATCAAATATGAGAGTGATAAACACTATAAATGGAGTGTTATCAGTTGATCTCTACTCCATACGTTTTCAAGGATTGAAACTTCTCCGAGACCATCTTATGAGCAGATGATGGGTAGAGGAATTGAGATTTGGGCAATTGAAAAAAGGGGGATTGGGGTTCGAAGAACAGAAGAGGAGAAGAAAATTAGGGATTGAACGTTCTTATTTCTTAATTCTGCTTAATCCCCAAAAGAAAGATTTTGATACATATGTGAAATTCTCTCCTCACTGGGTGTAACTCGGGTTGGGCATCGGACGACATTTAGAACAATGAACCAACCCAGTCATGCATCTATAACATCCTCAATAGCAGTAAGCTACAAAGCAACCTCATCCAAAAAATTGAGGTGTTTAATAATAATTACCATAGCTCAACATAAAATCCATTCAAATGACCCCTTAAAGTTTGTGTTATTGACTCTCCACGGATACACCGCGAATTAATCCCAGCTAGAGCAAAGTTTTTAAACTCTATCCCGGTGCAGTATAGGGGAAGTATGTTTTAATTGTCAAACCCGGATCGGTCCATGTACCCATACTTCAATCGCTAGGTTGTTATCTAGCAAACGGTTTTGGATTTAAAAATAAGAAAACTACAAAATAAACAAATAAGTAAAGTAAATCGAGGAGATTTCTATATGATAGGACTTCACTTGGGTATTTCTCCCCCTAGTCTTGTGCTAAGAATCAATGAATGGAACCCTAGTGTGAAGGATGTGTTTAAATACCGTGAGGCGGGTGCAACAAGCTAGAGAAACGCCCTTTTAGTCGATCAATCAAGGATTGCTACAATAAGCTAGGGAACCTAGCTCTCTTAACCTTTAGGCTAAGGAGTGCAACAATAAGCTAGGAGGCCTAGCTCTCTTAATCGAACTAACCGAGCAAACCCTAACTCTCTTAGTCGACCAATTAAGGATTGTTGCATTAATTTAGCAGACTAACTCTCTTAACTTTTCGACTAAGGATGCCAACAATAGGATAGGCAATCTAGCCCTCTTAACTAATCAACTAAGGATTGCAAGACCCAACCCTCGGAATTTAACCTGGACGGCGGAGAGCGACCAATCATGATGGGATCGTGGTGCTACTCCGATAATTGAGGTTTTGGCCCTAGATTAACCCAAAAAGGGTAACCCAAGTGGCTAAAGATCAAGCTCCATATGGGCCAAAGAGATTTCCACATTCTAGGTTAATTTGACCCAATAATGAGATGATGCAAGCAACACCCAAGCATTCATGATTAATACCTCAAATATTATATAAAACACACAATCAACACAATAGAATCATGTTCTTACATCCTAACACACATCTAGACTAGAATTCACAATACCCAAGTGAGTAGGTAAGCTATTCCATAGCAAAGGAAATCAACAAAAAGGAGATCAAAGAACAATGAAAAGATGAGTGTCTTCCTTCCTTGTTGCTTGAATCTCCCTTGAGAAGAAGAAACCTTCAATCCTCTAGCTTAGGGCAAGCCCAAATCTCCTTCTTCCTCCTTTGAATGGTACTTTCTCTCTCTAGAATAGGAAGAGGAAACCCTAATCTCTCACTAGAAACCCTCTTTTATTCTGAAAACTAAAACCCTAGAAAAAGCTCCCATTTCTCCTTCAGCTCAACTCCCCTTCTATACCCAGGTCGGGCTCAAATTACGGTCTTAGTTCATGGTCGTGAACTCAAGGCGGGGACCGTGATCTCTGGCCAAAACGCACCGCTTTACTAAGTCACTTCACGGTCTGGGGCTGGAGTTCACGATCTCACGACCGTGAACTAACTTGAGTCCAGTGACACTGCAAATGGCCCTGGACCCTCCGCACTTCACGGTCTTGGGGAAATTGTCACGGAATTTGGACTTTTCTTCGGTTTTAGCGCTTTTCGACCTCCAATCTTCCCGAAACTCGTCATCGACCCTCCCACACGTGCTAGGACCTGAAATATAACAAAACAAGCACAACCTAGCGTTAAATATTTCGAGGGACGATGAAATGCAAAGCCAAACTATCAAGAAATGTGGGGTAAAATGTGTGCATTTAGTCCCGAATCACTTATCAAATTGTATATATTGTTATGAGATCTCTATATAAGAAATAAGAAATTTCAAAAATTTAAAAGGGTTACTCTTTTAGCGTATTAGTGTCATATTGATAATACCACGATAAATTTTTTTGGTATCTTTGTGTTAGTCATTATTTTACAAGCTCGTTAAAGAGCCTCTGAACAGGAGTTTCTCTTCTCGCCCTCTCTCATATGCGTCCCTCTCATGAGTCAAGTGAGAAAGAAATTAATCATTTCTTTAAGAGAAACACTAATGCCCCGTTCACTTCCCATTTTGTTTTGTGTTTTTTGTTGTGTCAAATGAAAATCTGGAATCAAATAGTAAAAAAATGTGTTCACTTGTAATTTCATTTTCGTGGGAAGAATCATTTTACACAGATGAGCTAGCTGGGAGGAAACGATAATATCCAGTTTCCTGAATTATGTGGGACGGGTTTGTGCCCATTTCCTAGCGGAAAAACGACATTGTGCTTAAATGATCCCCCTCGTTCGAAGCCCACAAGCCGCAATTTTTTTCTCTTTTGTTCCACACTTTCGTTAGCGGAATCCGACATCGTTTCGCCTTCTCACCTCCCTCCACATTATTCGTCCACTTTCCTCTCCCTCCTGGCCAGCGGCCGCTTCTCCCAAAAATTTCGTCTGAGTTCAATCTTTCTCCGTGTGAAGCTCCAGCCGGCGACCAAGCTTCATCCGCCGCTGGGCCTCTTCCCTCTTCCAGCCGACGCCAAGCTTCTTCCCTCTTCGTCGAAACTCGAACGACGTAGATTTCCATCCCTTCTGTGCGTATTTTCATCAGGCGAAGAGAAGATCGAGATACTGGCAACTCTTCCTCCTCCATCGATCTAGCCAACTGCCTTTTCTATTCAGTTGTTGCTTGGTCAATGTCCATGGAATTGCCCGCCTTCGCTGGAGTAAAAGACCTCAATTGTCTGCAGATTTAACTGAACTGGGGGGATTTTGATTTTGGTATTCATGGGTGGATGTTTAAATAGTTGCTCTTTAAGACTTAATCAATTTGTGTTTTCATTCGTATTAAAAATTACAATTATTATTAGAGTTGTATGATATTGATGAATAAAATTGTGATAATCTAGTACCAGAAAACGGTATGAAGTAACTAAACATGTTTTCATTTTCAGAATCTATTTTCAGAATTCATCAAAATTCTCAACTAAACAAGTTTTTAAGGAAAACAACAGTACAAACCATATGCTAAGAATAATACAGGCCATGCAAAACATCAAAGTTATATCATAAAATATACACATTAATATTATAAATTATGGTAATGAAAGGTATACTCCTGAAGTATACTATACTCCATGTGATATGACCTTTAGATCTCTTTTTTGAGATTCAGCCAATCTCAACGATCCATTAATATTTTCAATTAAATTGAACTTCGAGTTTGAGTTTAGAGATTCGGGGTTTGTTCAGAAATCAAGATGACATAACATTCTTTACAAACGAGAATAACATAAATAGCATACAAATAAATCGTAGCATAGTTTACAAACCATAAACACATTGTATGACAACTAGATTCTATTTTCGTAACATTTTTCATTACAAATGATATTGACTTTCATTAGAAAAAAATTTATTTTCAGAAAACCGTTATTATTGGAGGTCGTGACTCGTGAGGAGTAGAACATCTGATCTGAAGGACAAGCTAGTTTTCACGTCATGCTATAACCCAACTTATGCAAATAACTCGAGTTGTTGGGAGAGGTCCATCCATGTATAGATCTTAATCACTTCTTTATATGCCCTCTAAAACGAAAATCAACTCGTGGGTTTGAAATTTGCACATACCCGACATATCATATCATGTGCTTTAAAACAACGGTTAATATTCAGTGTTGTGAGGATTTCAACACGTGATCTCAAATACAAACCAGCTCTGATATCAATGTTATAAACTAGCTGATTCCAATAACTCAAATCGTTCGGAATAGTGAATGACGAGACTAATCATTATGATTTTTAAAGGAAAAAAAAGGTTTAATACACTTGCATAGCCATAATTATGCATGTTTTGACAAATATAGCCAAATTTTGAATATCACACTAAAATAGCCATTTCGTTCATAAGTTTAACGGAACAGTACCACATGCTGACTGGACTAACGTCATTTGCTGATGTGGCTGACTTTTCATCTTGATCTTGCCAAGTTGGAAATGACTTATTTATTATAATATTAAATGAAAAAAAGAGAAATGATATCATTGCCGCTTGACCTTCCTTGCGGCTGCCATGGCATTCCTTCCCGTCGCCGCTTCATGATCTTCAGCCTCAAAATCCCTTCTTCATATTCTCTATGACTTCCCGTCTTCATCTACTCTTCTCCGCAAATCCCGAATATACAAAAACAAAGGAACAAAAATTCCACAATTCAAAAATCCTAGGCAGCTCGGGGAAGGTGAGAACAGAGGTATAAGGTGTTGGTGGCGGAAGAAGGAGGAGCGGGTCGGCGATTCTCAGATCGCTCTCCCTCTCTCCACCAATACATCTCCCTCTCCGCGACTAACCTCCTCGCATCTCTCGCTGGAGTTTGTTCTGGAATCAATGACCATGGTCTCCAATTGGTTGCGGCGGTTGTTCTAGGGATTCCCAGCAGATGCGGTGGTTGAGATCTAGCTGGCGAAATCAGGGTGAGATCTTTGACGCCTCTTTCTCCTCCTATTGCTCTCCCTCTCCTCCAAGACGATTGTCGCTGCTACGAAGAAGGGAAAGTAAAGACGGAAAATAATGGTGGCTGGGGCTCATCTTAACAACAAAGAAAGCTTCTTCACGGGCAGAGTAGTGTAGGGCGACGACCCTATTTGTGGTTCTTCAGCAGCAGGGACTTTCTCTGAGTCTTCATCTTCATCCGACTCTACTACCAAAAGTGGATTCTCATCGATTGGGTTGCTCTCCATCGGCTGCTTCACAGGCGGCTTTTTCAGCTTGTCGAACAACTCCATTCTAACAGCAGATGGGATCTCGTTGCCGCCTCTTCCTCTATGGGTTTCGTCGCCTCGGTGCTCTCGTCGGGGTCTGGCTTGAACGGTGCTCGACGGCGACGCCGCAGGCGCTGAAGGTTTGCGGAAGATGATATGCATTGAACTTCGATTTCTAGCTCCCACTATGCTTGTTCCCGGTTTTGAGTATTGGGATCTGTTTTTCTCTTTGCTTCGCCCCTCGTCTGCGGCTTCTTCGTCCGACGCCATCAACAACGATGGATTCTCGACCACTGGGCTCTTCACAATCGGCTGAGTCGTCTGTGGACCTGAACAAGAGGTGGAGGTGATTTCGCTTGTGCGACGACGACCCAGTCACTGGACGTATGATGAACGTATTCGAGCTGGAATGGAAGGAGAACTCGATCTGGAGATTTGGGGATTTTTGGGCTTAGGGATTTTTGATTGGTGAAAAGGGAAAATGAAAATTTAGATCTTTGGTTTTTGGGACGTAGGATTAGGGTGGTGGATTTGAAAGTTTTGGGCAAAGGAAAGAGATTTGGGAAGGGTTTGTGGGATTTTGATTTTGAGATTTTGGATTGAAAGAATGGTTTTGTGAGAAAGGTTTGGGAAAGCTCAAAGCAGAGAGATCGATCACGACCTGGGATTTTTGGGACGGCGATCTCTCTCTCTTTTTTATAGATTTGAAATGATAATTTTTTTTAGATTGTAAATATGATGTGGCAGCTAGGTGGCATGACTTGGTGTGTTGGAGGTGACGTGGGAGCTGAGGTGGCATCCACATCAGTGTCCTGTTAACGGTGTTAAATCTTTTAACGGAAATAGCTAATTATGTCAAACGAGTTTCTAAAATGTGTACAACTGTGTATTTTTTAAAAAGTGGCTATTGTTGTCAAAATGTGGATAGTTATGACTATACAGGTGAATTAAAAAAAAAAGAGTAATGAAAATATTAACCGGAGTGACGAATCAATAAACAAATACCACACAACCACTTTCTTCCTCTATATATAGTGGAGTAGAGCAATAACCCTGTCCTCAGTCCTCCCACCTCGATCAAATCTTCCTCGGCTCCTCTACAGAAGCAATATTTCTTCTTGGAGAAAAGAGGGGAAAGTAACTAAGAGAAAGAAGATATGAGGGCCTCATCATCTAGCTCTTACAAACTCTCTGGGTCCATCATGTGGTGGATCTTGATGGTGGCGGTGGTAGTCGCGGCGGCAGGCGGCGGTGGGGTGGCGGCCGCGGTCACTTGCAGCCCATTGCAGCTGAGCTCGTGCGTGTCGGCGATCAGATCGTCGACCCCGCCGTCGAAGCTGTGCTGCACCAAGATCAAAGAGCAGAGGCCCTGCCTCTGCCAGTACATGAAGAACCCGGCGCTGAAGCCGTATGTGAACACCCCTAACGCCAGGAAGGTCGCCTCAACTTGTGGGACCCCCTTCCCCAAGTGCTAATTAGTGATGGGATTAGTGGGCTGGTGAGAGATCTATAAATGGGGGGTGGAGTAATCAACTAATTAATGTTTTCTGATTAGCAAGCAAGTATGGCTCTGTTTTGTGAGTGGATGTGATGTTGCTATATGTGTTGTGTAGGTAATTAGGTATGGTGGGGAACTGGGAATAAGTTGAAGTGGAGCACTAGCAGTAGTGGTGAATGGAGGTGTGGGTAAAATAAAATGTTGGGGGGAAGGCAGGGGATTCAATGGCTAGCTCACCACTATGTCATTCTCGTGTCTTGTCATCTCTTCATCTTTCTGTGTAATTCTCCTTGTATTTGTATCTGTTCAATCATAAATGGTCTAATGAATTTGGGAATTCAGCTTATTTTTTACTTGCGAGAGGGCGCTTAAAGGATTTAAGGATGTAATTTTAAACTAATTTTCAACCTTAAACTAGTTTGCTCTCTGTTTTCGGCGATGGCGTCCAAGCGTATTTCGAATTTTTACCCCACCGTATTAGCTGGTCCAGCTGGAGAATTTCAGCCGTCGGTCGGTGTCGTGAATCGTGATTGTGCATGTCCCCTTCGGCCGGCGGCCATATTGATTGATGATTTAGGCGTATTATTGTATATATGACGACGGCGAGAACTGTGGCTTTAGGTTTTCTGGTAATGGAATTGCTGTTGTGTCCTGTAGGGTGGGGTTTTGTTCTCTGTTTCCCGGTCAGCGACGGCCAAACGGCGACACGGCTGGAAAAGTTCCATGAATTCGGCACTAATGCACAATTAAGTGCTACTTTGTCGGTTACACACCGAGGAATGGGTCTCCACCGTTTCTCTACTGTGAGAATAATGACAACATTAATCTCTCCCACTAAATGATAACACATAGCATTTATTATTAACTGCGATTGCCCTCATTTTAGCGGATAATCAGCGGCGATACCGCGATCCAATTTTTTTCTTGTCGTTTTTTGGCCCCTTCTTTCTTTATTAACCTTCATTAAGCGGTTGCAAACGGCAATATTTTCGCTAAATTCTCATTTTAGGGAGCATAGGGGTGCCTTTGGATGGTACATTTCAAATGTAAGATAATTGGAATGCATGTATTAGAAATATAAGTATTTTAAATTCATGTAATCTGGATACTTATTTGTAATTTTTTTATATTTCAGATTTTATGATCTTTATTTTAATTTTGAATATTCTGGTCACTTACTACAAATTTTGGTAAATCACAGTTTGGTATCCAATTTTATTTTTTCTTAAAATTTAGTACCTAAAGTTTTAAAATTTTACAAAAAGGTCCAGAAATTTTGTTGGTAAAATTATATTTTGGTAACTTTATATGTTTTGCCTCACACTATAGTACCTAAACTTTTAATATTTTACAAATAAGTCCAATCTTTTGTTAGGAGGTATTTCAAATCACTAGTTACAAATAAATGTATTTGAAGTTGGCAAGTAATACAATAGACATGTATTTGGAAATCACCCCATGAATTTGGTACAGATCCAAATACCAAATGTTATTAATATCCAAACACATGATTTGAAATTTAAAAATCCAAATCACAAATACCAAATCCAAATCATTCTATCCAAACACACCCTAAGAGAATTTAATTGCATGATAACATTAAGCTGTTATGGAAATTTTCACCAATACTAAAATTCTTGCAAAACAAGTAATACCGTAAGATCACGAAAATCATGCAAACACATGCAATTGTCCTGGTTGACATAATATAAAGTCTATTTTTAAGAAATCTTATTCCCCTCTAGTACTCAAGGTTACAAAATAATTCCTCTCAGGATAGAGAGAACGTACCTTTTCGACGTAGCGGTACCTCTAAACCCGGAAACCAACGAACACAGCGAATATCCAAGAACCACACTTGAGTCGATTTTTCTCTTTTAGAAAGACTGCATAAAATCACTTCATATTTTAGCAGATTTTTTGTATGAGAAAATTGTCTGTAAAAACCATATGGGATGTCACAGCAGCTGTGTTGGATTTCTTTCATTTAGGGAGACTTCCAGGTAGTGTGAATTTTGCCGCTATCACTCTATTGCCTAAAGTTCCATCAGCATGTGCTCTTAAGGATTTCAGGCCTATCTCTTGCATTAATCTGCTTTACAAAATCATTGCTAAATTACTGGCAAACTACTTGAAAAAGGTTCTCCCTTCGGTTATTAGTGGTAATCAATCTGCATTTATTGAGGGTAGGAGAATTGTTGACAATATTCTTATGGTCCAAGAATTGGTTAGTGGATATCATAAAAGACAGTTGTCATCTCGTTGTGCTATAAAAGTAGATTTGATGAAGGCGGTTGACTCGGTAAATTGGGAATATCTGTTCTTAATGATGTCTGTCATGAGGTTCCTAGTTGGTTTCATCATATCGATTTCATTGTGTGTAATAACAACTCGTTTTAGCATATGTGTGAATGATGGATTATGTGGTTATTTTGGGGCTAAGTGTGGGGTTAGACAGGGGGATCCCTTGTCGCCTTATCTGCTTACCATCGCCATGGAGGGATTAACTGTTATTCTTAATGTTGCTGCTCAATCTGGTCTAATCCCCTACCATCCACAATGTAAGAGGGTTAGGTTAACACATCTTAGCTTTGCTGACGATCTTTTAATCTTCACTAAGGGGTCTGAAAGGGCTATTGTTGGTGTGTAGAATCTCCATGAGTTTTATGAGTTGTTAGGACTTCAATGCAGCCCTCGAAAGTGTGAGGTATATTTTGGGGGGTGTTCTATTGATTTCAAGCATCACGCCCTTGAGTTATTTGGGGCTGCCTCTCCTATCTGGCAAGCTCTCTTCTACTGATTGTGACAGGCTGGTGGACAGAATCACTCAGAAATTCAAAGATGGAAGGTCAAAAAACTAAGTTATGCGAGCTGGTTACAGCTTATCCCTTATGTTTTATGGGTGTATTGCAATACTGGATGCAAGTGTTCTTATTCCCCAAAAAGGTGCTTAAGCAGGTGCATAAGGTGTGCTCTAACTTCTTATGGCACGGTGGTGAAGAGGGGCGAGCTAAGGTTGGCTGGGACAGGCTAGCAAGGCCTCGAAATGAAGGCGGGGTAGGTCTTAAGGAATTGTTTTCCTAGAATCAGGCTTGTACTACCAAGATGATTTGGTTATTGCTTATGCAAAGCGAGACTATCTGGGTGTCCTGGATTGCACAATATCGGATCAAAGCATGTAGTATTTGGACAATAGGATCCACATCTAGTAGTTCTTGGGCTTGGAGACGTATTCTTAAAGTTCGTTCAGAGGTTCAAGGGAACTTCTCAGGACAGGGACCTTCGTTATGCTGGGATGGCTCTCCTATGCAACGATATTCTGTTGGTTTGGTGTGGGATTCTGTTAGGATGAGGTTGCCAAAAGTGGATTGGAATAAGTTGATCAGGGGAAAAAGGTTTTCTACCTGGACCTAGTTTTCTAGCTTGGTTAATTCTCCAGGATAGTATTGTCACAAGGGATAAATTGATAAAAAGGGGAAAGCAGATTGATAATGCCTGTGTTTTGTGTTGCAGCCTGCCTGAATCACGAAAACATCTATTTTTTCAATGTTCTTTCTCGCAGGAGATGTTGGTTTCTCTCCATTGTGAGGATTGGTTTAGCAGAGGTGATTGATCTAGCACCTTATCTACTCAGCATGCTAACTCAGTCGAAAGAACACAGTTGCAGGACAAATGGTGGGATGGTTATGGTGTTTATGTGCTGCAAATGTCTGGAAGGAGCGTTGTAAACGGATACATGGGGATGCTAGTCGAAGTGCATCAACGGTGGGCAATTTGATTCTGCAAGATTTGCAGTTTATGAGTGAGTTTAACTGTAATGTGAAGAGTGATATGCAGGTGTTAGGAGTTGGTCTCTAAATTGTTAGTGGTATCATAATGTTGTGGTGAATGAGAAGGTTTTGTCCCCTCATTTTGCTCTATCTGGTATTTTCCCCACTTCGTTGTATCAGACTCTTTCTATTTTTTTTTTTTTTTGTTAATGAAAAGAACTGATTCAACGAGGAAAAAAACCATAGGGGATAGTGCTATTCATAGAAAATGAATGGGTGCGTATGCAAGGTGGCAACTATTCATATGGGTGGGTTACACCCCAACCATTGCATTGGTTGGTTCAATAATGTCTCAACCATTCAATGGGTTCGGCCCATAGTAGTTAGATCGGTTGGGTTATCCCAACCGTCATATCAGTTTGATTTGGTTTGACGACTTTGTTCGGTTGGTTACGCAAACCAATTTAACTGATTACCCACATATTACATCAAATCAAAATTGACCGAATTTGTGGTTGCGCCTTCACACAAACACTAACGTAGTACTTCAAGAGCTTCTCTTGCATCTTTATCCTTTCATTCTCATTCATAGGGGTGGAAATCGGTACGGTATCAGTATCCCAATACCAAATACAGAAATCCCAAATACCGAATTACCTCATAAAGGCAATCCCAATCTCAACCCCTAAATAATTTCGGTATCCCAATCCCAATCCCTAAATATTTTGGTATCCCAATCGGTACTTCGGTATCCCAATAGGTATTATCGAATACAAAATTAAATACCTTTGCAATTAATAATTAAATATATAAATTTGATTTTATTGTTTAATTTAGTGGGAGAAGACTTAGCAAAGAGTTTTGAATAAGGATATTATTAAGGAAAATGAAGGAGAGGAGACATCTCAAGTTCTTGTAATTGGTAATCGTTAATTTGACGAATTGGAGGTAGAGAGACGACTATTAATAGTGATGAAATGATCTATGTATAATTAAATGACACTCTTGGTGGTTGAGGGTCGTGTAGTAGTGAATGAGAGAGTCTAGTTGAGAGAATAAAATACACACTAGCTTATATTTCGGTATTGATCGGTATTTCGGTATATACCGATCTCAATTCCGTAATCCTTAATACCGAATAATAATTGAAATTCAATCCCAATCCCAATCCCAAGAAATAATACGTGTATTCGGAAATACCAAATAT